AAAATGCCACTACGTGTATTAATGTTAAATATCAAAAAGATTATTTTGAAGGTTTTTTTAAAAAATGGGTTTATGTTAGATTGTTGTATTGGAGTATTAATGTTAAATATCAAAAAGATTTAACAATAATGGAAACATAATTTTATTTCATACATTTGTAGTCAGGGTTCCCCATCGTCTGCCACCATCCGCATGCAATGTCCACTTGTCAAGCTCATGTCACATCAACCAATGATAAGCTCTTTCGTCTTCCTTCCTGATAGATTCCATGCGCCTCTTGAATTTGTACTCCTGGTGATTAGTTGCAGCCATCCACATTAAATCATGCAAGTCCTTTTTGGGATGTGCCTTCTGAAAATTGGCCTTCAGGTGCCTCACACAGTAACGGTGGTATGTATACGGTTCCTGCCATTCAGACAAATGCTCTACAGAACTTAAAATACCGCCATGCCGATCAGATATTAGACAAATATCTGAACGTTGTTTGACAACATACTCCTTCAAGTGGTTCAAAAATAGCGTCCACGTCTCTTGGCTTTCATTAGCACAAATAGCAAAATCTAGGGGAAATATTTGTCCATTAGCATCTACTGCAACAGCGATCAATAGCTTAATATCATACTTTCCATAGACATGAGTGTCGTCTATGGATATTACCGGCCGTCAATGCACAAAACTATCAATTGCTGGTTTGAAAGCCCAGAACACGTATTTGAATATATATTCTGCTATTCCCGGACTCTGCTCAAGCTTCCATTCAACAACAGTCCCGGGGTTAAAGTATTGCAATGCGGCCATGTACCTGGGTAGAGATGCAAATAACTTATTCCAGTCACCGTAAACAATTTCAAACGCACGTTTGCACCCGAGAAATGCCTTTCTTTTGGTAATGGTACACCCATATTCCTGGTGGACAGATGTAATACACTTTTTGATCTTGTACCTTATGGAAGCTTCAATGTGTGGAATCAAGACAAGTGAAATCAAGTCAACATCTAAAGTGATTTCCGCTGAATGTGTCCATTTCATAATTGTGGGTGCCAATGTATTTATCCACAACCCACATATTTGTTTTCTTCTTCCTCGCACGCAGCATCCAATTATAACCCGTAAACTATCTACGGTAAAAACCTTATATACATCCGGATATGACTCCCATACCATCATCTCACGACACTCTTTTACGCTGTACATTTTTACCGCCCTGATTAGGCGCGCCTTATCAGTAAAAAGCATGCCCTTTGACAACACTGTTGGTCTAGATTCATCCCATATTGCTGATCGAATTTCGTCAATATCCCTTGTGAGGGCATTCACACCTGGCATACTTGGCAAATGATCAAGGTAGGGAATATGCCTCGAATGAAACGGCACGTGAGACTCGTATACTTTTGGTCTAACGGGAGGTGGAGCATGCTCCCTCGTCAAATCAGGTTCGGCATTCTCTTCATCCTCAACATCACCCTCGTCAGGGAAGGGTGTGTCATCTCCAGACTCATCGGCATTGTTGTCATAATCACTATTCTCTTCCTGACTCTGTGCATCTACCAGATCCCGATTAAATACGCCATCTTTGGGCAATTGAGTAAGGACAGGACCATCAAGTTGCTCGTTTTCACTGCACAACCAAAGAAATAATGAGTTACTCAAATTGGTCCAAACAATACATATAACTTTATATATTCACTTACAAATCATAATGTGTTGATATCCCATGATGCACATTATCTTGTTGATGCTGACTCTCGGATGGACCACCATGATCCAACACACTAAAACTCGGCATATTCCAACTGACCGTTGGTTCATAACTTGTAAAATTCATATCTGGTCGGTACCCCCTGTGGAATATATGAGTGTTAATACAAATAAAATACACAAAAATATATATCGTAACACAGTAGAAAAAATGAAGTTTACCACTCTGCTTGTGGATTATATATACTAGGGGAGAAATTATTTTCTCGCTCCTTATTCGCCCGTGGAGATAAGTTTAGATCCGGCCAAACTCTTTCAGCCGGAACCTGTTCTGCTAAAACCGCTCCAAAATCACCACCCGATGATTGAGGGATTTCCCTACTTTGCGCAACCACATTATTGCGAATGTCTTCAGCCTTGAAGTACATTTCCAACATTTTTATCATAATAAATTTTCGGTATTCATCTGGAGTCCTCAAAAAATCTCTCAAAATTTCATCGTCTTCGATGTTAAACTCAGCATAACAAGCAACCCCTTGCGGAGTCACAGAATACGAAGANCAATATAATAAAACCCTACTTCTTTGCTCTTCAGACATTATGACAAAATGCAAAACAATTAAACAAACAAAAATTTCACAACACTTAGAGTAATTCTGAATGGATTTTTACAAAATCCTTAACGTCTTTATATAAGGCAAAAACCATTCCGGGAGGTGAATTATTTGAGGTATAGCGTCTTAGCTTAAGATGCTATACCCAATTGAATTATTGTTATGTCATTTAAGCCCATAAGAATTATTTGTGGGTCCACAATAATACATATAGCGTCTTTTAAAAAAAATGCTATATATATAGCATCTTTCTAAAGGACGCTATACCTAACTGGCCAAACGGCCGTTAAGGTATAGAGTCTTTTAAAACGACGCTATATATTTTTTGGTCACTGTGTATTTTTTTCACATGTTTTTGTTCTTTGAGTCCAAAAATGCATTATTTTGGTTTCGGACTCATATACTAAGCGTTTTACAAAACATTGTTTGAGTTAGGTATGATGAAAATTATTTTTCATACAAAAAAAAAAAATGTTTTGGGTAAATACTTTATATGGATATTTTTCTGATTTTGGTTGGTCTACTGAAATTCTCTTTGTAAAGTTTATCTTGATAATAATAATAATAATAATAATAATAATAATAATAATAATAATAATAATAATAATAATAATAATAATAATAATAATAATAATAAACCCAAAATCAGAAAGTGTTTTGATGAATTTTTTGAGTAAAGACTGATAATAAATGTTTAAGTATTGGTTGAAACAAGTGCTATAAAATTAAAGTTAAGATAATTGTAAGAAACAATTTCGGCCCATAGATGGAAAAAGTAATTTTTCTCCATTTTGTTTGTTGATGAGCCAAAAACTTTCTGAAAAAATATACTCTATCCGTTCTAATTTATGTGAACCTATTTCTTTTTTGGTCCGTTCCAAAAAGAATGACCCATTTCTAAATTTAGAAATAATTTAGCTTAAATTTCCAATTCTACCCTTAATGAGAAGCTTTTATAACCACACAAATACTCTTGACCCTTTTTTGACTTGTTTAGGACCACAAATTCCAAAAGTCTTCTTGTTTTCTTAAACTCCGTGCCCAGTCAAACAAGTTCACATAAATTAAAACGGAGAGAGTAATAAAGATTGATAATAATATTAGCAAACCAAAAAATATGTGAATCTTTCATGAACTTTATGAGTAAAATTAACATTAATGTCTAAGTGTTGGTTGGAGGAAGTGAAATGAAATTATAAATCAAGATAATTGTAAGATAAGTGAGGAAAGTCATTTTCTTGATGAAAAATAATTCCTGGAAATCAAACACTAAAAAAATAACTTTATCATAAAGTATATTTTCCAAGAAACTGACTACAACCGCACGAAACATAGCCTTGTAATCAAAACTCCCTAAACACATGATTTGCATTTTTTTGCTTTCATTTGTTGAAATGAGAGTGCGTTAGATATCGAACCTGTGATAGTTAAAGTGTTAAATTGTTACTACACTATTTGCTTAAAAAAGTTATTATGAATTCATCTCAAAAAGAATGAAAAGTTGTTGAAGAAAGTTTTGTATTAATGTACCTGAATTGTTTTTTATCTATATGATTTGAAGATATTTTCTTAACATAATATTGTTATAATAATTTGTTCATTTAATTTGTTATGTGACAACTAACACCGCTTACTTCTGTGTACATCATGATAGCAAAATGTTTCTAGACAACATAATTTAATGGACATGCAGTCTTAATTAAGCGCATGTAATATTTCGCAGGTTTGAGTTTTTGACTGTAGACTAAACCCCACAAGCTGGGAAAGTTTTGGTTTGTTCAAATATATGTTGGCTTTTGCCTCTTTTGTTATTGCGGTGTCAGTGCATTCGATCTCCTCACTTCTAATACACTAAGGCAACCGACCGACTTTATTAATTATATATATGTTGCTCCTCAAGAGGATAGAAGAAGAAGAATATGAAAAACGTGGCTCCTATTTTGCTATCTATAAGATGGTCAATATTCACTTTCCAAATTATTGGTAGAGAAGTGACAAGTTATTGTAAACTTGTCTTGCTCTAACTGGACTAATGTGCTGATAAAACAAACAAAATTCCGCTTTTTAAGATTATTTATTTATGTCCTCATAATTCATATAGGTGGACAAGTTAAAAAAAAATACCTATGGACACCAAATAACTCTCTAAAATTTTCGGAAAAGGTGCCTCCTCATAACGAAGATCACAGTTGGAAGTGCTCTAATTGAATATTGTTTTTTTTTTCTTATGAAAAGGTAAAGGGCTCTAATTGAATAGTGTCTCAATAATGATTCGTTTTACGAGTGAAATAAAACCTGGTTTTAGTTTTAACTTTTTTTCTTTCTCTATTTATTTAAAAGGCAAAGAATACCACTCTATCAATAACGACATTAGAACTAAACATTATGGACGTATACTTCCTCCTTTGTGACATTTTGAGCGACTTGAAAGAAAATGTCTCAAGAAACATAATTTTAAGTACAATTGGTCATATTTCAGTGAGAAATAATTTTCAAAAAATCTGTCCAAAAATGGAAGATTTTAAAAGCCAATGTTCTCAAGACAGCAAGTTAGTACAGGATATACAAGAAGTTTTGTGATACATTTCCAGTCTTGTACAAGAAGAATCTGTTGTATGCATCAACTTATTACTTTGCGGAAGACCACTCAAATGTCAACTGATATCAAATCTAAAACAGGAGGTTATAGATCATAGAACATAAAATGGCACCTTAAGCAAAATCTTACAAGCACCAGCATTGCATATTGGATTAATGCTTTCCAAGAAGGAAGCTTCACTGATTGATTAAATGAGTACATTATGGAGGAACCTTATTTTTTCTCAAACCATTCAGCTACTAAATAAAAGGACCTTATTTTTTTTCAAACCATTCAGCGACTAAATAAAAGGGCAGCCCGGTGCACTAAGCTCCCGCTATGCGCGGGGTCCGAGGAAGGGTCGGACCACAAGGGTTTATCGTACGCAGCCTTACCTTGCATTTCTGCAAAAGGCTGTTTCCACAGCTCGAACCCGTGACCTCCTGGTCACATGACAGTAACTTTACTAGTTACGCCAAGGCTCCCCTTCCATTCCGCAACTACGACAAGAAAACTAAAGANATGACAAGAAAACTAAAGGTTCCACCCACCAAGCTTGCTACTAAAACTAACAACTCTACTTCCATGCACAAGAAGCAACCAAATCTCTGTTCATCCAACCGAGGTACAAAGCTCCATCTCTTTCTTCAAGCCTATATTTGTCACAGTAGTTTTCTACCAATGCTTTGATAGTAGAATTCACCAATGAACTCAACGGATACGGGCTGAATNGCCTATATTTGTCACAGTAGTTTTCTACCAATGCTTTGATAGTAGAATTCACCAATGAACTCAAAGGATATGGGCTGAAACCAGCCATTCTAAACCGTGACTTCCACTTACCAAGAAGCTCATGCCGCTCCACCCTCTCAATTCCCTCGCAGGCGATGATGTTAACAATATCTTTTGCCAAACAATGCTGCTCAACATTGATGCGCTCCTTATGCGCCCTTGAGAGAGTCGCATCAATTGATTCAAACATGGCAGTATAGTAATCTAACATTTCAAGGAAACGAGGAAAGAAAGCTGCAGTATTTGTATTAGATTCTTGCTCAACAAGGGTAACCACCTTGGGATTCAAGCTCTTAACCAGCCGTATCAGTCGATCCCTGTGATTTTCTGTGCTCACACTTTCGTCTGGCATGTGATGCAACACAAATGCAAAATTTACTGCCAGTGCTTCACCAGGTCGAATTCCAAGGTTTTCTAGCTGAACATCAGAAGTAGATATGGCGGCAGCATGAAACTCAAAAGGCACCTTGAAGGACTCAGCAAGCTTAGAAAGCCTCTTGCCAATAATATTAAGCCCTCCTCCACGCGCATAGGCTGATTTGGAATCATCAATACCCGTTATGCGGATATGAGGTGGACCTCCAGGCCGAGCTGCAAAAGCTTGGATTAGAGTAACCCACTGACTCCCTTGAGAAATTTGGAAATCAATGATATGAACTCTTTGTTCATCCTTCATTGCTTCTGCAATGGCACCATTTGCCGACATGTATCCAAATTTGAAGTAGGGGCAAACTTCATGAAGAATATGCATATATGAAAGCAGTTCAAAACTAGCTGGTTCTTTGCATCTTTGGGATTTGTATATGGAACTTCCTGATGCCGCTAACCTTGCTACAAGGCCTTCAAGGATGTATGCTCCGAGTCGCTGAATTGGTTCCCCTGACACTGACACCATTTGACGCAACTCTGATATCAACCACTGAGCTGTAAGCAAATCACCATCTGATTCTGCTTTTGCACACGCAATGAGCACATGTTTTAAATCCCCTCTAGGTATCGCCTCCAACATTTGTCTCCAACAGCCAATTTCTGGGGAGGTCATACAGCTCGGCAGGGAATTATCACAACTATCCAGAACGTCTGAATTAGGTCCCAGCATTACAGTTTCCAATTCTTTTAGCTTGTGCCTGAAATCATTCACATCATCTGTAATGCATGATCCACTTACTGGGGAGTTGTAGTTAGTATCAGGCAAGTAATGTACATCTGATAAGCATGACTGAGATTCTTGATGGGAAATCGGACTTCCATTTGGAGTGAAACTGACAGCTGATATTGAGTTTTGAACAGCATACTTGCCAGTAGGTGAGGAGGACTCCAGTGTGCAATACCAATCAGAATAAGTTTGAATGGAGTGATTACCTCCTTGGGTTCGATTAATATTGGTCATCTGCTTGTCTAATGTTTGAAACTGAGGTAGATAGGATGCCTCTGTTTTTTGCACAGATTTATAAAGAGTATCAGACATGGCTGATCTTCTAAGTCGCTGTGACGCTTGCATTGAAAAGATGCTAACTGCCACTTTTGTATATGATGTATTCAATCTTGCATCTGCTCACCCTAGATGTTTACTGCACTCTACAAAGACCATTTATATAGCAAGGTTCTCTGGCTGCTGCAACGAGAGCCTTTAATATTCCTTCACAACGACAACAAACTCACAGACTGTGCAGAATTAGGAAGTTTAATTGAACCTACACATGTCAATTACTTGATACATCAAAGCAGCAAAAAAGAGAAAAAAATGAAGTCAGAGATAGAAACTTAATTTTCCAATCATACTAGAGCATGAAAATTCATAAGATTTCTACTAAGTACATAACATCAGAAGGTTGGCAGGAAAACCACATTAATGCAAATAGAAGGCCAAGAAACTAAAAAATAATGAAAGCTTCTAAAGCAATTAGCCCACACCAAGAAGAAAACATGTGTGTTCACATCTAAAAGATAAACTACAATAAACTATTTTAACTCCCATTAACATCAATTTAGATTGCTTTGGTCCCACAGCCGGATTATACTTATCTTTTGCACCAAAATTATCCAAGTTATCTAATTCAGGCCTATAATCACTTTGTCCACAAACATTCTCCTAGTCCCACTACAAGACCTTTCTCACCTGTGTTTTAGTTTTGAAGTAAGATTATTATAATTCTCAAATTCCACTTATGGCAGATTTCATGCAAAAGGAAGTCAGACCAAGAACCAAGCTAAACACAGACTTCAAGTTACCCGCAAAGATTACTTAAATGGAAACAAAATTCTCAGAAAATTGCAACTTTATCGACTTGCAGGAAAAATAATGAAAACTGAAATGGGCTAAAAGAGCAAAACAACCACAAAGATCCTCAATTAAAATGTAAGGAAGGACTGCAGTTATCAAACTGTAGTTGCTACACCAACCTTAAACTGTAGAATACCAGACAAAGAACCAAGCTAAACTAATAGTCCATTTTCCCAGAAAAATTGCGACTTAATCCAATTGCAGAACGAAAGGAAGGGAAACTGAATTGTACAACAGATGACAGAGGCAACAAAAAGGATTTTGAATAGAAATGCAAGAATGAACTGACTTCAAGTTTTACTAAAATATTCCTTAAATTATACCAAAATTCTCAGGAGAAATGCATCTTTATCCAAAAATGCAGAAAGAAAAAGAAGTGAAATTGAAAAGTTACAACCGAGCATAAAACCAACCGCAGACACTTGAAATATTGCAAAAATGGACAACTTCAGCGTTTCAATCGAAAATTCCTCACATATAGCAAAATTGCATTTTTATTCAATAGCAGAAAGAAAACAAGGGAAACTGAAATGGAACAACAAAGCACAGAAGCAGACACAAAGATTCTGAACTGAAATGCAAGAATGTAACTGTAATTCAAATCAATTCAGTAGCTGGTACACCAACCTTAAACTGAAGAATCCCAGATTCTGTTTTGTTTTTTTGCTTTTTTTCCCTTCTAAAAAGATATTTTCTTTCATTATTACAACTAAAAGAACTGTTTTAATGTGGAGAGAGAGAAAGAAAGAGAGAGAGAGAGTAGGGGAGGACAGGACCCTACCAAGTTAACCCCTTCTGTGAATTCATTCAAGTAGTATTATAAAAAGGTTAAAGTTAATAAAAAGGTCCTCAACGTTAGTATAATTAACAATAATGCCACTAAGGTGTATTTTCTAATTGATAATACTAGTGGCCTAAATTACTCTTAATCAACAAGTAGTGGGCAAGTTGATGAATAAAAAAACAAGTGGGCAAGTAGGGTGCTACTCGCTCTTAGTTGTATTTAAAATTAAAATAATTTACTTACTCAGATTTAAATGCTGTATCTACTTCAACGGCTCAACCTTCATTTGTTTTTCATAGTGTTCTCAAAACAAAACATGTAATAGTAATTTTTGAGTGTTTTTAGTGTCAACCAACTCAATTTATTCTGAGATTGGTTTGGATGTTGCCATAATTATAGATTTGAGTTATTGTTTTTACCCATGCTTTATTATGAAATTTATTTATAGTCTTTCGTACTAGATTCCCGTATGGTATGGATCAATTTCTTTCTTTCTTTTCTTTTTTTTTTTTTTGTTTTTTTGTTTTTTTGCTTCATCTATTTTCATTTTGCACCCATATAACTTATGCTTTAACAAGAATATCGTATTATATTGAATCTTCAAAGTTAGTAAGCCATGTTATAGACAGTTAAAAGAAGAAAGACAAAAGTAGTATTCGTCACAACGGGGGTTTCAAAAAGCGTTTTTTGGGCGACACATGAACCAAAAATAAACCAATACCAAAAATACACTCAAGCGTACTTGTGGGTGTAAGTATTGTGGGGCGTAGGTCTCAATATTCCGGGCGTTACGCCTAGTATTCAAGGCGTTCGCCTGTGCGTAATTCATTTGGGGCGTAAGCCCCGAGAACTTTTTTAAATTTGAGTTAAAATATCTTAATAATTTTTTAAAAATTAAATATTTAAAAATTAACGTATAGTAAATTTTCAAACTTAAAATATCCAAAACTAGCAGTTACAGCGGCCAAAACTACAACTTTTAGTCATTTGTATGAGGAACTCGAGGGCCGAGGTGGGGATAAAAGGTTGTTCAGGTTAGTCAAAGCGCGAGAAAGGAAGGCGCGTGTAACGACCCGACCAGCCGTTTTGAATATTATAACCCCGTTCCCCCATTTATTACTCAATTTATGTTTTGCAATTGATTTATGAATTATCGGGTTAGTTGGTTCGGGTCCGGAAGGAACTCGGAATGAAATGAGGCACTTAGTCTCATAATTGAAACATTTAAGTTGAAAAAGTGGACCGGATATGGACCTATGTGTAAACGATCTCGGATTTGAATTTTGATGGTTCTGTTAGCTCCGTTAGGTGATTTTGGACATTAGGAGTAGGGCTGCTTATCGGGCGGATTGGGCGGTTAATTACTCTTAACGGTTTGGCTTAATGGTTATCGGCTTTTAAATGTATTAATCCGTTAGCCACCCGATAAGACATCGGGCGGATTGGTATCGGTTTAGCTCTTATCGGGCGGTTATCGGGCGGTTTATCGGCCTAATTCATTCTATATTGCGTGCATTAATTGTTTGTTGACCGCTTAGCATACAAATTCAGAATAGAAAATTACACATTGAGTCCAGACATACATGTCTGTTAACGCCTACATAAGAATGATGTAGTGTGTGATATGGTGTAGAGTGAAAAAAGCAGAACACATTATAGTTTACATTACATCCCAAAGCAGACTATGATATGATGTAATTAAGGAAAAAGTAGTTCTAATGGATATGCCATTGTAACTCTTGCTAGATATAACATGGATCGTACAAGAATATCAAATTTCATTGAGATAACTATGTGATTGCCTGGGTTTATATGCAAAGGAATAATTTTTGTAGTTTAGCTCATTAAATATAATGGTATCTAAGCTTTTATTAATTTATTCATAGCACAAACGAAGCAAAATTACAATAAATGTGCGGTTCTTCCCTTTGTTTCTTGTTCATTTCTCTTAGAAAGTTGACAATATATTAATAATTAACACAAAGGCTGTGCTGGAGCCATATTTACAATTTTAAAAAGAAAAAATATGAGGTTGCTCTTCATACTAGGATATTAAGATAGAGTGCTGGAAGCCTGGAAGTCGACGAGATAGAGTATTGTGGGTGGCTGCTGGAGTGTTGGTTAAATTTCTACTGAAGCTGGTTGAATTATGGTCGAATAAAGAGAACCATAATTCTGCTGGTAGTTGCTTGTTGAAGTTTAGGCATTAGGGTTCTGATTATTTAGGAATTATGCGTTAGAACTTAGAGATAGAGTACTGGNAAATTGAATAATTCGCCCCCAAACCGATAAGCCGTTAATAAAAAAAATTCAATCCGTTCCCCGTTCGTTAAACCGTTAACCCGATACCAATAAGCCATTAAGCTTTGGTTTCTGTTCGGTTTTCGATTTCGGTTCGGTTTTGAACACCCCTAATTAGGAGTGCGTCCGAAATGTGATTTGGAGGTCCGTGGTAGAATTAGGGTTGAATTGGCGAAATTGAAAATTTAGCGATTTCGGTCGGAAGTAAAAAAAATTGATATTGGGGTCGGAATGAAATTCCGAAAGTTGGAGTAGGTTCGTAGTGTTATTTGTGATGTGTGTGCAAAATTTGAGGTCATTCGGACGTGGTTTGATTGGTTTCGGCATCGGGTGCCGAATTTAGAAATTTAGAAGTTCTTAGACTTGAATCCGAGGGTAAATTGATGATTTGGTATTGTTTCGAGTGATTCGAAGGTTCGACTAAGTTGGTATGTTGATTTATGACTTGTTGATATTTTTGGTTGAGGTCCCGAGGGACTCGGGGTGATTTCGGATGGGTATCGGAGAGTTTGGAAGTTGAAAAATGCAGCTGGAGTTGCTATTCTGGTGTGTCCGTACCTGCGGATTGGGAACCACATGTGCGATGATCGCAGGTGCGTGGGAGGCTCGCAAATGCGTATATGGTCGCAGATGCGAAGAGTGGATCGCATCTGCGGGCTCGCAGGTGCGAGGAGACTTCCGCAGGTGCGAATTCTGGCCAGTTAAGTGGAATGCGCAGGTGCGCACCGGAGTCCGCAGATGCGGAAGCGCAGGTACGAGAAAGAGTCCGCAGGTGCGGAATCCCTGGGGCAAACCCTATATATCACACTTCGCGAATTTTGGTGCATTTTTCACCATTTCTATTCGGTTTTTGGAGCTTTTGGGAGAGATTTGAAGAGGGAATCAAGGGGGTTTTATTGAGATAAGTTACTTGAGCCCTAATACTTGTATATATGGTGATTTTTTATTGTTTTAATTATGGCAATTAGTGAAAATGAGGGGTCAGGGCTTGAGATTTTGGAGAAGTAATTTAAGAATATGAAGGACTAAACGATGTCGGATGTTAATGAATTTATATGGTTAGACTCGGGAGAGGACAAGGTTTATTATTCTTCCATTTTTGACTGATTTCGAGACGTGGGCCCGGGGGTCGAATTTTGGTCATTTTTGGATTTTTGGCATATTTTGTAGTTTTTCTTGTGGAATTCATTCCATTAGCGTATATTAATAGTATTGTACTGATTGTGATTAGATTCGGAGCATTTGGAGACCGGGTCCAGAGACGAGGGCATCGCGGGGTAGGATTTTTACGCGGTTAAGGTAAGTAATAGTTTTAACTCTGGCTTTGAGGGCATAAACCCGGAGATTTGACATCACGTAATTGTTTGAAAGTGATACCCACGCTAGGTGACGAGCGTGTGGGTGTGCACCGCGAGGGATTGAGACTTGGTCTGTCCCGTGAAGCTGTGAGGCCTAATGGCTATTATCTATGGTTATGTGTTTATTGTTGTTGAACTTGTTTGCCTTCATGTTAGAGATCATGCTTAGGCTTTATTCATGCTCAAATTATTTGTACTCAGTCATAGAAATTATTGTACTTGTTTACCTCAGTCTCTATTATTTGCTAATATGCGGTGATACTTAATGTGGGTTGTGTTCTCTTATTTGTTGGTGATGATGAGGCTAGTGAGGTACATGATTGAGTGAGGCCGAGGGCCTGGTTGTGAGAATATTAATACCATAGTGCGTGAGTTATCCGCGTAGCACGTGAGTTGACCGTGCGGGTCCAGGTATTAATACCATAGCGCGTGTGTTGTTCGCGTAGTACGTGAGTTGACCGTGCGGATTCAGGTATTGATATGATGGCACGTGAGTTGTCCGTGCTTAGCGCTTGGGCTTTGGGAGCCCCTCCGGAGTCTGTACACACCCCCAGTGAGCGCAAAGTGTTGAGTGTTTTGAGTATTGAGTGCTGAGTACGAGTGATGAGTGATGGAGTGACACTGCTGTGAGGTTGTATTTATTTTTGTTGTTGCTGCATTTATCTGTTAAACTTCTTTGTGGCATTTACTGAGTTATGGAATTTACCTGTTTATTTCTGTTTATTTTTAAATTGTGAAAAATAAATAACTGGACTGTTTTACTTAGCTCGTCACTATTGTTCAGTTTCTTAGTTATTTCTGTTACTTGCTGAGGTGATTGTAGTCATGCTATACCTTGCACTTTATGTGCAGATTCATGTAAGTTAGAGCGCGGTGATCTAAGTTCAGGCCGGCTATCGTTGGAGACTGTAAGGTAGCTGCTAGCGTCCGCAGGACCTTGTTACTCCTTTTATCATTTCCTCTTTTGGATTGTATTGACAGTTAAACTGTTTCATTTCTTAGTTTATAGATTTAGACGCTCATGACTTAGTGACACCTCGATGTTTGGGGCTTATTTTCGTATTTTTAAAATTATATTTAGAGTTGATTTAGTTTATGAGAAATTCAAATGTTGAAATATTTTATTAAATTATTATAATCGATTTAGTAAAAATATTTTGGGAAGTAGGCTTGTCTTG